AACAGCAGCATATATGGTATGAAATGCATAAATATTCAACATTTAGGAGCAGTTAGAAATTTAAACAAAAAAAAACTCAAATGTTTATATGTAATATATTTTTGCTTGTATTTGAAGATAGGATGATGTCATTTGAATTTCGTTTTTCATTCTTTTTTTTAGGCCAGTAAATGAGGTGGAAAAAATATGAGGATTGGTGCATCTTTTTAACAATATGCTGTCTTCTAAAATGTACTAATTTATAAATGAATAGTTTTTTATTTTTTTTAACTGGAGTAAGAAAGTATTGTAACATTCAACAAATTATGTTGAAGTATTTCTTTTAAGTTTTTGTCTTTTCAGCTTTTAAGAAGCATTACGGCATTTCTATTACCGTGAAATGGACGTCCTTCTCCAAGTCAAAGCACGTATCCGAGACTGGACAAGAAGACGGCACCTTTACCCCTCCTGGTCTGAGTCCCCTCCCCAAACCCTCCATCACCCCTCCCCACCTGCACCCTCAGCCCTCCCTTCAGGATGTCCCAGCCCACCCCTCTCTCCAGTCCTTCTTCCGGGCCGTGGGGGGTCCGGCCGGTCCGCCGAGAGATGAGATGAAGCCTCAAGGCCCTGTGAACCGCGACGCCGTGTCTCTGCTGCAGTGGATGTGCGAGGTGAACCGACTTGGCACTCCTCAGTATGAAGTCCGCTTCCATCACGCCAGCTCCGACGGCTTCCTCTGCTTCAGCTACGAAGTCCTGATCCCGTGCTTTCTTATTCCCCTGTATGGGGTTATCCAGATCCTTCCAGGCCCCAGCGTTCAGGCCACGAAGAAGGAGGTTTATCGAGCTGTCGCCGAGCTGGTGATCCAAACCATCTGTAAGGTCTCAAATGCGCGACCTTTCTAAAATTTGATCTGTTAATGTAATGTAACGTTATTAGTTTTATGTTCAGTATTATGGTTTGAAGGCATGTACTGTTTCAGATGAATGAGTGGAAATGAATGATTAAACGAGTATTTAGTTTAATGTTAAAGGGAAAAAAAAAAAAAAAAGCCAATCTGGGCAGGGGATTTTTTTTCATTTTACAAGTGTTAATGTAATGTAACGTTATTAGTTTTATGTTCAGTATTATGGTTTGAAGGCATGTACTGTTTCAGATGAATGAGTGGAAATGAATGATTAAACGAGTATTTAGTTTAATGTTAAAGGGAAAAAAAAAAAAAAAGCCAATCTGGGCAGTGGATTTCTTTTCATTTTACAAGCTCTTGAATTCAGTGGTATGAAAAAGGTTTGAAGTATTGTTCTCGTTGGTATGTTTTATGGTATTTTAACAATACAATATTAATCATTTTGTTATTTTAGTCAGCCTCATCACATTTGGATGATTGCATGTTTTCACAGCTTCTTATTTTGAGTTTTTCACCGTATTTGATTTCACGATTTGTTTTGCGTGTTTGTCACGTTTGTTGACTTTGCATGGTGTGCTCTTGTTTCCTTGTTTGATGGGTTGTACTGACTATAAATGACTTTTGTACAGTAAATAAGTTGTTCAAGAAATAATTTGTGTAGGCTCAAGTCCCGGATTATGACTTGGATATATTGCTATTGTTCATACTTGTGGTAAGTCAAAACATTCATGCAGAAAATGGCTACAGATATGAATGATACCTCAAATCACATGGGTTGTTAAGAGATGTCTTTCAAAAATGTTGTGATTTTATATATTGACTAAAATAATCAATTCTTAATTTTATTATCATTATTAATATTAAATGTAAAACAAAAAATATTCTGTAAAATAGCTTTTTTTTTTTTTTTTTTTTTTAAGCTGTAAAATCACAACTTAATTACTAAATTAGGAAAAATTAGAACATTTTATTTAACTAAAATTACAATTTGTCTAAGAAATACTACTGTGGTTAATTTTTTTTAATACAATTATTACGATTGACGTAAACGGGTCATATGATGTGATTTCAATTTTTCCTTTCTCTTTGAAGTGTTACAAGCTCTTGGTTCATAAAGAAGGTCTGTAAAGTTGCAAAGACTAAAGTCTCAAATCCAAAGAGATTCTTAATAAAAGTTAAGAGTCAGCCACACCTACCTAAAATGACTCGTTCTAACACACCCCCACATATCTACCTCACTATGTGGGAAGATTTGCATAACGCCGCCCAAATGTTCATGCAAAGAAAGAAGGCGTAACTTTCAGTCTCCCTGTAGTTTTGTTGACGCTGCAGCCATGTCGTGAAGGCGCTGTGTGTTTCGTTGTGAAAGCGAAACTACTTTGTTTGGCCTTCCAAAAGAGGACGATATCTGCTTCGTCATGCCTGGAGCGGATTCGTGCTGGTTGCTGAGGAAATACTACAACTTTGTGCTGTGGCTTGCCGGATCGGCTTTCACTGTGGACGAAGCAGAGTCCAGCCCGGGGTCGTCACATGTGGTTGCTGCAAGCCCTCCGGACGCTCCTTCGTCGAATCCGCCGCCTCTGCTCACTGTAGGCCACCGTGTGTGACGCTGTGTTTCGTTGTAAAAGAGAAACCACTTTGTTTGGCATTCCAAAAATGGACACGACTAGAAATCGGTGGTTAAGTTGTATTTACAACACTGTTCCAGAACAGTTTAACCCAAATATTCAGATGTGTGCAGCACATTTTATGGAGTACCGTTTCCTGATCCTGGGAGAGTAGACTACAATGCCGGCTGTCAGACTGTAAGTATGTTTTTATATTTAAAGAGGTTTTTATATTTTTTATATTTAAAGCGAGTTTTTTTTGGGCCGTGTAGAGTAGGGCTTGTTTGTCTTTTCTCCGATCACAAATGCAGACATGGTTTTAGGTTTATGCGGCGCGATGCATAAATGATTAAATTTGCAATACTAATATTTATGGCTGTCTTAAAGACAAAGTTGCATAGAATGTAGGCCTAGAGACAATGTAAAAGTAGCATCTTGCATGTGGCATTAAAACAAATATGACTGACACAAAGATAAGACAAACAAAATATCTTAGTTACTCATTTATTGATAGATCTGACATAATCCAAGCGCATTTTAAAAGAGCAGGCAATGAGCTGTAAATATTTTTTGTCCTTAATGTTTAATTACTGACACAATTGTAAATGGGTCCACTGTCCTCCTCCGTCTATATGGTGACTGTTTTTAAGACTACAAGGTCCTTTTTTTGATCTCATCCACCAGATCTGCTCTGGGCACATCAACCTACAGGAAACCAGACAACATATTAGTGATTTTGATCGGACTCCCAAAAATTGAGGTATAAAAATGTAAAATAACTATTTATTTTCAAGAACATAAACATGCAATGCAATATTGTGTGACAAATGTAGCCTGTTTGAAATAAGGCGTAAAATTGTTTTATAATGAGTTAGTCAAAATGTTTTGTTAAAATGCATGACAAATTGTAAACAATCTGCGAGACTATCAAACGCACTTCTTCTCGGCTGGCCACATTGCGCAGTTTGACGACTCCGTCTTTGAGTTCTTGTTCTCCTAAAATGGCCACCAGTGGAATCCCAGTTTCCTCACAGTGCTGCAATTGGCTCAACAGCTTCGGGTTTTTCTTATATAAAACTTCAGCCTGTAGCACATAATGCATAGCTCAGAGTCAGAGATCCACATTACAACTCCACATTCATTTTGGTTTTCTTGAAGCATATACAAACCTTGACTCCGGCGTTCCAAAGCTCGCTGGTCAGTTTGAGTCGCTCTTCTAGAAGGTTCTTCTGCGCCGAGGCCACCAGCACTTGAGTTTCAGTGGTGCGCACCTTCTCTGAAGATGTCTGGAGGAGATGAGAACATTCCACATGTCTATTTAAATACTTTTCATACTTTTCACACAGTGGCACCATTCTAAAAATGTTCTTAGTGTAATAAAAATAATTATAGAACTAAAATATTTAAAAATAAACCATTAATCTTCACAGATCATAAATACCCTATCATAATAAAAACCAGTGGCACCATTCCAAAAAAGAACTCAAAGGAAAAAAAATAAAAATAATAAAGCATTTAGTAATTAAAACTATTTTTACCATAATAATAAATTATTAATATTGTTTTAAAAGTTTTTACATTTAAGATTTCAAATACCTTTTATCTTAAAAACAGTGGCACCGTTCTAAAAAATGTACTCAATAACGTGAATAGTATTGAATATTTAAAAAAAAAACCATTAATCTTCCCAAATGTTTAAAAAAAATACCCTTAAATAATAAATAAAAAATAAATGAAAATAAATAAATGTAAATAGCATTAAATAATTAAAATAAATATTAAAATTAGACATTAATGTTCTACATTTTTTAAAAACCATTAAATAATTGGGTATTTAAAATGAACCATTAATATTTCCAGTTTTAAATTTAAATTCATATTAAAATAGTGGAATACAGTAAAAAAAAAAAACAGTAAAATACAGTAAGAAAATTGAACGTAAATTTTAAATAGCATTAAATAATTAAAATAAATGTTAAAAATAAACCATTGATCTTTCTAAATGTTTAAAAACATTAAACATTTAAAACTAAACATTAATATTCCCAGTTTTTTTGTTGCAAATGCCATTTCATATTATATTTAAATGTACTCTTAAAAACAAGCTTCCAAAAACAGACATAAAAAAAAAAAAAAAAGTAATTATACACCTTCCTACTACCTCTCTTTCTCTCACTCACCTCGGCCTTCTGCTCCATGATGGAAAAGATCCTCTCAATCCCAATGCTGACGCCAACACAGGGCACTTTCCTGCCCTTGGGGTCAAACATGCCCACCAGACCATCATATCGCCCTCCGCCAGCCACGCTACCAACACTCACGCCAGCCTCATCCGCCCCGTTCTGCTCTGCGGGCGCTGGGATGGTCTGGGAGAGAATGGCTTCATAAATCACACCAGTGTAGTAGTCCAGTCCTCGAGCCAGACTCAAATCAAACACCACCTAGAGAGAGAGAGATTTAAAAATTAATGAGGGCAAACGAAAAGAACAAGATCACAGAGGCAGACAGTGAATGGGTGTGAAAAAAGAAATAATGAACACAAAATTACAACTGCATTTACTGAAATGAAACATCCGTGTAATAAATTTTATAGGGTGTGTATTTCTTATCTAATGGATCATACATAAATGTAAGGAAGATGCACGTGGAGCATACAAAAAATAATCAGGTGTGACGTGATACAGCATCTTTTTCAAGTTAAATTTGTTGAGTTTTTTTGTTCTAACTAGCAATAAATGAGTAAGAAAAGATAAATGCAATTATTTTAATTTTGATGGATAAATATTCAATTAGAAAAGACTGCCGAGTATAAGCATTTTCACTAAACACCTTTTGTTCAGTATTAAGGACAACAGGAAATAACTGCATTTTCTTTCGACGCATTCTTTGACCTCTGACCTCACCTTATCTGTGACCTGGAAGAGCTCCAGGTAGCTGAAGAGCAGCTTCATATCTGTGAGCCCAGCACAGGCCTGTTTGTTCTGGGACAGTTTGGGGTCCTGAAGCAGCCGCTCGGCCAGATCCTGTCCACCTGGAGGTCAAAGATGTCAGCAGATGTAGGAAAATACAAGAGGGAACACATCTGGTCAGGTAAAAACTGACTGTAGGCGACTTTGTAATGTGGGTGTGATGAATGCTTACTCACCCTGCATGCTGACGTACTCTCCGATCCGATCGGCCACATCCTCTGAAAGACCTTTCTCATTCACCATCTCCTTTTTTACATCCTCCCAGGCCATCTACAAACACAACGAGCACGTCTTTAAACCTTAAACTAGGGCTGGGTTCAATCATATCACAAATCATTTGTAGCGTGCCTACTATTCAATAATCCCAATAAGCTTTGTGCTTTGCTACTTTAGATATGAAGTCTCAGCTTTCATATTGTGTTCATTTTATCACAAAATTCAAACAATAAATACTGCTTTGACAGTATTTAATGTGCATTGACAGATCGCTGTAGCACATCAGTTTGTGGAAGCACAGCTTGTAAACAATGTCAACGTTACATTTACATCAGGAAAGCCATTCAATTCTTATAAACTTATTTTGTCAG